GAAGAGACTTTTAGTCTAAAGTTTCAATTTCTGGCTCAAAACATATCCTTCCACCTAAATCTGCATTCTGGACCACTGTGCCGTGGTACCGGGACAATAAGGGTGATTTTGTCGACAAGGATAGCAATCCATCCAACTGCCCGCAATTCCGCCCAATCGAAAAGTGTTGGGCAATTATCAAGCGGAAGTTAATGAAAACTCTCTCGACTCAGGACGCTGCACAGATGGCTCGATGTTGGAAAAAATGGGCGCTTAGGTTTACCAGTACCGAGTGTCTGGCAGATGATGGCGGGAATTCCAAAGAAAGTCCGCTAGTTCACCCGTTGGAGTAATTTAGCATTTTTTCATGAAAGTATAATAAAATACCTTGTGTGCTTAGGAAGTTATTGGCTTCTTTATCAATTTATAACTAATTAACATGAAATTTACTTATAAAGAAAAATTACTGTATTAATTTTCTATCAGATGTCATTGTCTTTTGTGGTGACATCTATCAAAAATCACGCATAAACTGTTTAAATTCCTTTTACAGACTACAAAATAGAGTATTTGGCACTGCAATGTATGCATTTAGATTAACATCCGAAATCTCTCTTTTTCAACACACTCAACACAACAAATGAAACTTATGAAACATTTTTTGTGTTGATTGTGCTTATAAAGAGGGACTTCGGATGTGAATCTAAATCCTTAAATAAGGGTAACGTTATTTTTTTTCAGTACCTGCTACTTTTTTCTGACGAGAGTAGGCTGTTTTTTCCGTGGAGTTTTTTATATCTATTATCGGTTGCTGATCTGGCCATAACCAAGCCCAGGAGACAATTTCTAGTTCCTCATTCTAGGTCCCTATTATTTACCGCTGAGAAGATGTTATGAAGCCAAGTGGACGCCTCCACGAGGCGTCCCATCATTCGTCTCATCATTAGTTCCATCATTCGTTGAGTCGCAGCGTTGAACCTGACCACGAAAAGGCTTACCAATGCACATCAAAAATCGACTACATACATCCGAGCATTTGTTTATCTCAAATCAAAGGAAGACATTCCGCGCAACTACCATAAACCGGACTAGCTCATGTTGAACTTCGTCAAGCTTCGTCTACAATTTGGACTTCTACATCAACACATGTCAAGCAGCCTTCAGTTTCAATGGGCTAGACTTGGTGAGTTCGTTCCATTTTGTAAATTTTTATCTTTTCAAACCAGTAACGGCAGTGGCGCCGGTGGTGTAGTGGTAAGCGTGATTACCTCTCACCCCAGCAGGCCTGAGTTCAATCCCAGTCGGCGCCGTCGGGATGTTCTGAGGCATAACATCTCTAATCACGCCTTCCTTCGGAAGGGAAGTAAAGCCGTTGGTCCCCGGTTCATGAGTTGATGAGTCGATAGGTAGGTTGCAGGTGTGGGAGCTGCCTTCCTGGCGTTGGTAGCATTGGTGCTCAGCACGGAAAACAAGATCGACGGAAAAACAAATCAAAGAAAAAAAAACCAGTAGCTCTGGGAGATCACCTTTTTGTGGTGCGTTGCTGGTATAAGATCTATCACCAAACCCTAGTCGTGACATCTTCAAACTAGGGAATCAGGATTTTCCAGTAATCAAAGGATCACATTTTAGTCCTTGTTACTTTTTATGACTTGATAATAGTGACAAGACTCGTGTAGTGACCACCACGCCGTTACGCATTTCTATATTGTATATTTCAAATCAAAAATATTGATTATGTTCAAAAATTTCACAAAATTCTTTTCCCTTTATCCTTCTCATTTTCCTTTCCCTCTTCTCTTTTCAGAAAGCGAGTAATGGCGCTATAGCCATAAGTCATTAAAGGCTAGGACAAGAGTTAGTGCTCATGCCCCAACCGTCAGAAGAAAATGGAGTATCACTTAACCTTTGATGCTTCCAACGACCAACCAATCATATAATTATCAAAATCGGAACGTACGGTACGATATGTCCACGTTTCATCCATTTATTGGATTCTGAAGCATCGTGTTCAAATCTTCGATTTAAACAGGCCCGATATTTTCTGAATCATCTTGCCCCTTAAATGCTGCACAGTAGGCCTGGCCGTTTTGATATGTGTGACGCATCTTCGATGTGAAACATATATCAAATAGACAAGAAAAATTATGTAGGTATATTTATCATTTTCCAGGATGCTTTCAAGAACTGGCTGTGTTGGTGTTAGATTAGATTAGATTAGATTAGATTAGTACCTGTTACTCTTTTCTGAAGTCTGTAAGACGGAAATCACACATCGTGTGTCATCAAAATACATGGCATGTTGAGAGATGGAGCTCGTGAGAGGAATTCTCTCTCTCAACTTTTATTTTATGACGTAAGATTATACGTATTTCAGCAATTTCAAAAAACCAAAATCCACCGCGTTACGAAAAGTGGTCAGGTTTTGACCACTTATAACTCTGTCAATAGCGGATGGATTTCAATTCTAAACAAGCCAATCGATTGGAATTTTTTCTACAAATCTGGTAAAATGAACACTTAATAAATTTTCAATAGGTCTCTAATGAAAATTACACAAATGTTCAACTGTTGCAATGGTGATTAAAATTATCACCGATTGCCCGCCAAAAAGTGGTTTCCCTAACATACACACTTTGAAATAACTAATTTTACACGTGACGGAATCCATCTTTGACATAAAGGATCAGACGTAAACAAATATTTCATGTAAAATTAAGTGCTCCGAGACTGAAAAGTTCAAAAGTACGTTTGATTGAGTTGAATTTCGCGTCTGTTAAGACTCAATTTTATATCATAATTGACGCTCGTATATGTCAGTCTCAGAGCACCTAAATTTACATGATTTTTTCTAAGTGTGTAGTCGCCGAATGTTGATACCGAGCTCGTAATCCAACGTCAAATCTACGGTTGTGTCTTGGATACAACCTCTTACTTTTTTTTTGCTCTCTGTGGACTGGTAGGAAACCAGGTAAAAAATGTGGTGAAAAAAACCTTTTTTTAATTTTATTGTAGCTCTAATAACTATAATTTGCGGAAAAAGCTGATCGAAAAATTCCATGAATGATTTTTATAGGTTCAAGTGAACGACAATCCTGACCTGAATATGCATCGGAAGGATATTATTTTCAGTTTTCCAAATTGCTTTATGGGGATTTTTATTGCTTCCTACCAGTGAAACAGCGTCATCTGTGGGAAAATGGCGCTGACTTAATGCTTAATTTAAAAAAAATGTGCATAGTACCATTCAATCATCAATTGAGGGTATGAAAATAAGAACTATGGTCGATAAAACACAGCTCAAGGATGGGCATTTTTTGGCAACCAACTTTGCCGAAAAGAGTACATTGGTGGTTACTTGCACCCAGCCGGGAGATGTAAGATTTGTCTACAATTATGAGAGATTCATCATCGCAGGATGTTAGTGGAGACTGTATGAACAGAGGATGCCATGTATCGAGCTGCGGTTCAATGCAAGAAAATTGGAAACCGAGTGGAGTGTATTAGTGAGTGAAATTATTCAAGTCGAAAAAATAAATAAAAAAAAGGCTGCCAGCACTCAAACCACGAACATTTCGAATATCAGACCTGTGCTTTTCCACATGTGCTTTGGAGCATAGATAGGATGGATCATGCAGGCAAAAGAACGTAAGAATTCCATAAGAAACTCTTATGAATTTTAGCCAAAATGAAATGGTTAAAGGTGTATAAGAGCTACCTCATGTTACCCGAAAATCATCGATGAGTCTCGCTTATGAAATTCATATATGTTGTTCATAAGTCGAGGTCTATTTGCCTTAGTGTACTGAACGGAAATTGGAGAGAATCGAAGCAAGTGTGTGCGTCGTTCTACAATGTACTATATGCATAAAAAGCTTGGTGGTATAGCCTGCTTGGCGAACTCATATCATTCTCTGCGGGGGATGATAGAAAATGCAAATAACATTGATTGTAATAAAATTTTGGTTTGCATGTGGGTATTGCTGATCGTTATTTAGTTATGCATGATTTTCTGGAGAAATGATAGTCATATTTTGGCATACAGTAAAGTTGTGATTTTTTTCGCGTGATTTATTTGAATCCTATCGAATTTAATATTGGTCATTACATCATCAAATTATTGCTGGATAAAATTTCACAAGGAATTTTAAATATTTGTTTATGAACCCAAAACATTTTTTTCAAGATAACTGGCAGTACTACCAGCATTTGAGCGACAAGTAAAATAGCGCTGCGCTTGAAATTCGGAAACCTCTCTTTGAGTTGAGGTTGGAGACTTAAACCAGCCTAAGGGCGAAAATCTCTTTAATAAAGTTATCTAATCTCATGTTTTGAGGTTGCTATCTTTGCCCTCGAATCCTGGGTTTATCGTTTTAGCGATAGATGTTGAGATTTGGTCTTTTTTCATTTTATTCAGTATCTTTAATACTTTATGGTCCTTCGTCACTGATGAGATTTTTTTTGAAAATACATCAAAATATAATTTGCTTATACATATCAGTTTGTACATCAAACTCATTCAAGGGTTAAGCATTTAAATTTATTTGGAACTAAGTTGCCGCTAAAAAAATCACTGCTGAAAGCACAATTAATATTAAAAGGAATAAATTTTTGGGCTACCAAGTCATGTGAAATACTGTTTTAAATTTGTAAACATACAGTACCCGTTCGATTTTGGCAACAAAGTTACAAAACCGGTTGTTTTCGGCACAGGGATTTTGGAGATAATGTATTTTTGCCCCTAGTGGTTACAATTTTGATGAAGAGTAATTATTAATAACGTCATTGTAATAAAGTTGACTCACGGTGGTCAAAAGTCAACGAAATCAAAAATTAAATTTCAAAATAGAACCGTTAGATTTTGGCACCACTAAATTTTTGGGCTTGTTGCCAAAATCAAACGGCAGTTTCCATGAACCTCTTGTACTATCCTTCTTGCAATATAAACATTGTCATCACAGTCATAGTTTTGAATCGATCAATTAAAATAAAAACAATATAAAAAAAAATCCATTACTCACCCCATGTCCAGCACCACTCAGGTACAGCTGCCACAGCGGCTCCTGCAGGCCCACCAAGCTGGTGACCTTATCCTTCAGTGGCAGCGAGCCGAGGCATCGCACCGAAAACGTTTGCCCATTGGTCAGTGATGCTGCTGCTGCTGTTGCTGCCGCGGCCGAGTCCTTCCCGGGGCCACCGTGTTCCTTGGCCACGTCGTTGAACATTCGCTCGATCTGCGCCTGGACGCAGTTGCCATTGCTGCCTCGACGGCTGGCATGGCTACCGCCACTGCCTCCACTCCCACCACCCGCATTGTGCAAATCTCGCAGATTGTTTGCCACTCCACTGATGTCCAGATTGTCCCGGTCGTTGATGATGGTGCTGGCCCCGCCGATCCGGCTGATGCCGCTGATCGATCCCGCGCCATGGATCGATGACGATCGGCGGCGGCCCCCGGGCCCTATTCCGAGGTTCAACGAGCTACGATCATCGATCCGTTGGCTGATGATCGATCTAGAATAGGAATAGACATCGTCGTTAGCGAGCGAGCCCTTGCGGAAAAGGTGCTTTGCGCCGGGACCGGGGCCGGGACCAGGACCAGGAACTGAGGGGTCACCACACCGGAGGTGATGCTGATGTTTGGTGTTAATCGGGTTAATAACGGGATCATTGGAGGTTAGGTTCGCACAGAAATGCTCCCCGGTGCTGTTATAGTTATTAGTAAAACCACTGCCACTGGTGTTATTGCTTTTGTCAGTCCGGGGACTGCTGTTATCGTAAAGGCATAGCTGGTGGATTATGAACACAAAGAAATCACTAACGGTTTGCCACATTGAACCGACTCGTGCGGAGAATGAGCATCGGAGGCACACTGAGTATTGCACATGGGGCGCTGTGGGACTTTTGATCACCAACAATTTATCGCTTCGGACTCGAATCTCCCCCTCAAAAAGTGTCACTGCACAACGAAGATGTCAAGATGTCACAATTTAAGCTTTTTCCCCTAAATCGCCAATATTTGCGCGAATTTCCCAATGTTACTTGGCTTCAAATAATCACAACACTATTTCTGTCACCGCGGAGTATTGCACGCATTGGGAATCAATTAGCTTTCGACGGTCAACCGTCAGATTTCACACTGTCAAACATCCAAATCGACTTCGATAGCTGGCTTGGATATTGTTTCGTTCAGACAAAACAGCCCACAACACTTTGGCAAGCGACGGCGACGAAGGCTTGTTAAACACCATTAATCATTTATGAGAACCACCAATTGTCGAAATTCGGCCAATTAAATGCATCCCCTCACTCTATACAACACAGCAAGTCAATCAAATCGAAACGCAAAGAAGAAAAGCGTCGCGATCTCTCTTCGAAAAGTCTCCTCCTAATGGGCGGGAGAAAAGACTTGGACACACGCCGATATTCACTCGTTCGAATTTAGGAGATAAGCGCGCACACGTTTTCACGACGATGGACCGGGGGCCAATTTGTCGAGGTCGAAGAATGCGTTCCGCACTGCACCAGGTTCGAATTGCGATTGAACGGCACTGACCAGCGGAGGATCGTCCCAAGACCATCGCTTTTCTCCGCGCACGATACGGTGAAGGCCTCGCGTCGCATCTTCTTTCCCTCCGTTACAGCCCATTTCGTGCTGACCTTTCTCCCGAGCGCGTACCTGGTGCCGCTTGGGAGAGGAAGCCATCAGGTTTTTCCTGCTCACTTGCTACCATACCACCAACCATCGCAAAAATTGTGGAGCTTTCCCGGGCTTTGAACCGATTCCAAGCTTTTCGTCGATTGGAGGTTTCAGTTTCCACTTGGTTCCATCTAGATCTTGGGATGGAACTGGGTGGTGATCAACTGAGAACTTGCGGGTAGTATATTTTTCGGGGATCGCTAGTGAGCTTTCATCGATCAATCGTCCACATACATGATCGATCGGGCTGGATCATGCAGGTTGAACCGGTTGTAAAATCGTGTTTACCAATATGGCATCAAGAAGTACGCAGTATGAATGAGCGTGAGCTTTCCTGTGGCCTAGACCTAGGACAACATTCGAAAACTTGTCTCAGAAATGGGAAAACTGGATAAAAGTGAACGTGTTGTTAGCTGGAGACAAGTGTGCTGATTTTCACTTATAGTAGGGAAAATAGGTTAGATATTTTGTTGTAGAGCTGGTTTGCGAGAATCTGATTCGAATCAATGACAAAGTTAGAAAACGAGTCAAAAGGATTAGCATGGGGTGAAACCCCGTTGTTCTTTTTAATCTTTGTGGGTTACATCCATTGGTGTTGCTTTTACTTTGGGCTTATAACTTGAATCCAAAATTGAGTCAAACATGTCTCTATTTGTACCATGTCAACAAAATATGCTACAATTCAGAAGTTTTACGAAAAGCTCATTATATGAGCTCAAGGCGTGAATACATCCGGCCAATCCAGAGAAAAGATAGCGTTGAATTTGACAACTATTTTTTCTCTGAATTGGCAATACGTTCGCTGGTGTCACAAATCCAGGATGAACGTTTTTCGCAGGTTGTTTCAACATTCGCCTTCTTTTTCCTTTTATTTAACGTCGGTCTCTGTTCCGCAATCTAGTGCCAATCACCGACGGACATCAATTGCTCTCCATTAATGGCAATCGAATGTACAAGGAAGGCAGCTTCCACACCTGCGTAGGGATATCGCACCCAAACACACATCATGCGCCGGGACCAACGGCTTTACTTCCCTTCCGAAGGAAGACGTGACCAGAGATTTTTATGCCTCAGACCTCGGCTGGGATTGAACCCAGACCCATTGGGGTGAGAAAGAAGTTACGCATACCACTACACCACCGGCGCCGGCTATCATTCGCCTTCTCAATGTTACGGCGTTCGCCACCTGATCAGGTTTTAATACTGCAGAAAAACGCCAAAAAGTATGCAACACAGCACACCACTTAAGCTACAGAATTCACAGAAAATTCACTCACCCAGGTTGCTCGATTTAGACCTGTGCGCCGGTCTTTTCATCGGCGGTGGCGGCGTAGAAACCATTTTTGCCTCGGCGGCGCACAGTGGGACGAATTAAAAAAATGTGAGGTATGGAAACTATTGAGTGGAGCATTTTGATATCTTTTAGAACGTTTCTTAATTTTTTGATAATTTTTCAAAGTATATTCTAAATTGTTTGCTTTACAATGCATGTTTTTCAATTTTTTTTAAATCAAGTTAATTCTTTAGTAATATGTTTAACGGAAATTAAAGCATTTGCACTATTTGTTTACTTTTGTGACCGAACATCAGTTTTTTGATTTGGGGTTACTTTGATAATGCTCGATGAATTTAGAAAGAAAAGGGGGGAAACTCAATCAATTTAGTTCTTGAATATGAAACTTTGCATGAGTATATAGTCAGAAAACATCATGAGCAATAAGAATACAAACTGTTTGTTCAGACCGGGGTATATGATTCTCATCTGCAAGAACCAGGAAACGGCTGACTGGTTAAAGGCTGAAGTTCCCAGTATCAGACCATGGGAAAATGCCTGTCTCGTTGCAGTCGACGAGAAACACATACCTCGACCTGAAATTTTATTGGGCTTTTTCCCGCGAAGTGCAGAGGATAGCACTGAAGATATTCTTGCTTTGGTGGAAAGCCAGAATGAGGGGTTAATGGTTGATGCCTGGCGAATCCTCAAACGGTATATCGTCAAACAGCATCACACTGAACTCGTATTCACTGTTGATGCTGTATCCATGAAAACCCTAGAAGAATGCAATTTTACTGTTGACTACAAGTTTGGTAGTGCTTTTATAAGGAAAAAAATTCCAACAAAGGCAGAAGATGAAGAAATCCGAAATAGTGATGGAATAATCGAGGGAGATAAAGAACAGTCTAAAATTCCTGAGATCCACGAGAATTCTGAAATTGTGGATAAGGGTGATGGCAATACTGATCAATGCAATAAAGAAGCTAGCAAAATTAAAATCCGGGAGACCAGACAGACTAGCGAAGCTTCTAATGATGTTGAGATGGATTGCTGTCGCTCAGATAAGTCCACTTCAGAAAGAAGCGAAGGAAATGGAAAAAAAACTAGCCCTCCAAAGTACACAAAATGCATCGGAAAATACTGGACAAAAATATCGAGAGATACAAGTCCACACAAAACAATACAAACTGACGGGTAATCACAATACCATGTAAATTGAGCAGAAAATGCCCAATAAAAAGAAACACTAATTAAACCGATGACGAAACAAAGCATAAAATTCATACAAGAAAACCTTCACCACGCAAAGGGAGCTTCAGCTATATTCAGCAAAACATTTGTTCAAAGCAAACTGGATGTTGCTTTCCTCCAGGAGCCATGGACACACAAAAGCAGGATTTTTGGAATGCCTTCACAATCGTGTAAGCTAATTTATGACGATACACAACTCTTACCAAGAGCTGCTATACTTATAAATAATAATATAAAAATGACCCCAATTACAGGATTCATCAACAGAGACATTGTTGCAGTTACTATAGAGGTACCAACTACGCGGGGGAAAACAACGCTTTACGTTGCATCGGCGTATTTTCCTGGTGACGTTGATGACGTACCTCCTCCAGAAATTGCAGCATTCGTTTCATACTGCAAAGGCCAGAACAAGGCCTTTATCATCGGATGTGATGCAAATGCTCATCATACCATTTGGGGCAGTACTGGAATCAACAAAAGGGGTGAGTCTCTTTTTGAATTCTTTACACAACAAAATATCGATATATGTAATAGGGGTAATTCTCCAACATTTATTAATGCAATAAGAGAGGAAGTTTTGGATTTAACGCTATGTAGCTCTGCTCTCTCAGATCGGGTAATAAACTGGCATGTATCAGATGAAATTTCATTATCTGATCATAGACAAATTCTATTTGAATATAAAGCAAGTGATATAATCAAGGAAACCTATCGTAATCCTAGGAAAACAAATTGGGAGCTGTACAACTCCAATCTCTCCGTACAATGGGATGTTTCTATGGATATAAGCACCAATGATAAGTTGAAAAAGGCATCTGAATGCCTAGTAACACAAATTAAACAAATTTAACCGAGCTAAAATAATAGGAAATTGGTCTACCTATAAAGAGGCTTTGACTGACTATAACAAAGAAATTAGAAGATCCAAACGTAAACATTGGAGACATATGTGTGAAAACATTGAAAGTACTCCTGTTACCGCAAGACTTCAAAAAGTCCTTTCTAAGGATCATGCAAACGGCTTAGGAGCCCTTAAAAAAGAGGACGGTTCTTTTACCTTAACTACTAAAGAAACATTGGAAGTAATGATGCAATCTCACTTCCCAGGGTATTTGCCTACTACTTCCACTATATCTGTTGTAAATTTCGCTAGAGGTCATGACTCAGTAAATGGATCAAGACAGTCCAATGAAGAGGCAAAAAATCTAGCTAGTGTAATGTTTACTAATTCTAAAGTTGCATGGGCTATAGACTCTTTTGAACCATTCAAATCTCCAGGTTTGG